CTATAAGTCAGTGCGGGGAAGATGTGTCGGGAAGTGGCGCGGTATGTGTACAGAAATGTCGTGGATGTACGACACGCCAATCAGCTTACTATTTGGGACAGCCAGCGCCAAGAAAACTGTTCTCACAGGATCACCCATGCTGCGTCGTTGCAAAATGTGGCTATATTTGTATCATGGTAATGACTATTTAGTGTTGTTTGCATCACACTGTGACTTCTCGGTCTTGTGTACCTCGCAAATACTTTTTCTACCCTTTTGCAATACGACGTGTTTCTGCAAGGGTTTCTCTATCTGTTGTTGGAAACCAAGATCTTCGTGTTTCGAGCCATGCCTTACCCAAAAGACGCCGCAACGCCCGTGACATGCCCGATCGAGCCCTTGAATTCACTGGTAAATGAAGTTGCACCCAAAATTCAATCTGTAGACATCAAAGAATTTGAAGCCCAGAAAAGGACTGGTGTCATTCACCCACCTCGGTTGGTCTCGGTCCATGCAGATGGGGCACCCGATAACGACCCAGCATGTGCATTGCAAAGCGATGATCGCCTGGATCTTATCATAGTCGGAGCAGGATTCTCCGGTATTTCTGCAATCTATCGCGCCAGAAAACTAGGGTTGAGGGCCAAAATATTCGAGGCCGGCCTTGACTTTGGGGGAGTCTGGTACTGGAATAGGTATCCGGGGGCTAGAGTCGATTCAGAATTTCCTTTCTACCAGCTGAATATTCCTGAGGCGTACAAGTCGTTCGACTTCACCCAAAGGTTCCCAGACCACAAAGAGCTCCGCCGCTATATGAACCATTTGGACAACGTACTGGAATTGCGCAAGGACGTATTTTTTGGGGCAGAAGTTCGTGGTGCTGAGTATGACCAAGATCAAGGGGTGTGGACAATTGTAACTACAAAGGGTCTTAAAGCAACTGCGAAGTATCTCGTTCTCGCGACAGGACTCCTGCACAGGAAGTACTGCCCAGATTTTCCAAGTTTTGCGAAATATAAAGGCGAGGTATACCATTCCAGCTCCTGGCCTGATGACGAGAATTTGACGAAGAAGAGGGTGGCTGTCATTGGAGCAGGTGCGACATCTGTTCAGATCGTGCAGGAACTGGCAAAGCAGACAGCAGACGGGGGATCCCTGACGATATACATACGTCGTAAGTAATAACTGAATCTCACACGACTTGTAAGTCCTTGCCAACTCGAATCTCTCCAGGGCCGAGCACTTGTATTCCTATGCGCCAGCGAGATATCTCTCCCGAAGAACAAGAAAGCCTGCGGGCCTATTACCCTGTTCTCTTCAAAGAAGGCCGTCAAAGTAGAGGGGGAATCCCGATCAGTAGTGTAGGATGTAATGTTTTTGAACATACAGTCGAGCAACGAGAGCGACTCTTTGAGGAATTGTGGGCCCGAGGAGCGTTTAACTTCCTGCTTGGAACGTATCGAGATATCGCCATCGATGAGGAAGCGAACCGCGAAATTTACAATTTTTGGGCGAAGAAGGTCCGATTAAGAATGAAAGATCCCCTGAAGAAAGATCTGATGGCGCCGCTGAAGCCTTTGTATCCATTTGGCACAAAGCGGCCACCTCTCGAGCGCGACTACTATGAATGTGTCGACATGAAACATGTCCAAATCGTCGACTTGAAGAAGGACCCTATCAAGGCATTCACCGAGCATGGGATCGCGACTGAATCTGATTTAGTTGAGAAGCAGTTTGATGTGGTCGTCCTTGCAACAGGGTTCGATAGTTTCACAGGATCGTAAGCTTCCTTCCTTTTCCTCTTTTGCTTCTTGCAAAGGTGGCGAAATGCGCTAACCAAGGGAAAATCGCACAAAAGATTGACCCATATGGGCTTGAAAAACAAGCACGGAGTGGATATTAAGGACATCTGGAAAGAAGGCGTACGAACATATCTGGGAATTCTAATGAATGGATTTCCCAACGCCTTTGTCCTATATAGCCCGCAAGGTGCGTCTTATGAACCAACACGTCTATGCATTTTTCTCTCTAGCTGACGAAATTGGAGGGGAATAGCCCCTACAGCATTTTCAAATGGACCGACAATAATTGAGAGCCAGTGCGACTTCATTTTCGACATTATTAAGAAGCTGGAGAAGGAGAATGCAAAGTCGATCGAACCAACGACCTTGGCTGAAGACGAGTGGAAAGCTCTTATTACTGATATGACTGCAGGCTCGCTCCTGAAAGGGACCGATTCATGGTGGAATGGTGGAAACATCCCGGGCAAGAAAATCGAGGTTCTGACCTACGGCGGAGGCATTTCTGAGTATGAAAAAACATGTTACACAAAGCTAGATGGATGGAAAGGTTTTGTGATTGAAACGAACAGACAAACATCATAGACATGGAATGCCATCTTCTTAGATAAACAATTCATACTTAGTAACGTTGTACCAAACAACGTGATCAAAAACTCAGCCTGGCCTGTTGGAGGGAATGAAAGAAAACTAAACTTTTGAATAACTTGAAATAGTCTATAGGCAACAATAAACCTTCCATGCCAATGCTGCTTCTCATCCTCTCAATCTTCGATGCCAACCCTACTCTTCGTCCCTCAGTTGCAGCTGCACCATTAGCGGCCCTTTCTCCCAGAACGAAAAAGCCTTCTGCTTATCCCATGAACTTGACTCGGGGCTAAGGGTGAGGTCGAAATTCCACAACACCCTGGCCAGGATCACACGCATCTCGTTATATGCGAGATTTCGGCCAATGCAATTGCGAGGCCCAATCGAAAAGGCTTGCATGGCATCTCGATTGTCACCGTAGAAGGGAGACTGAGGGTTACGCGTAGACTCTGGGAGCCAGCGCTCAGGACAGAAATCCAATGGGCGATGAAAGTTGGTATCAGACCAGTTGGCAGCAGATTGATGAACGGCAACGAGGGACTCATAAGTGTCAGCAAACTCCACGACTGTTCGTCAGTGCAGACACTTACCTTTGGAGGGACCATGTATCCCGATATGTTGGTGGAGCTCAGTGTCCAGCGAGGCAAAATGCCACTTATCGGTGGGTACCGCCGCATTCCTTCCTCGAGGCAGGCGTTCAAGTAGGGCAGCTTTGTGGAAGTGCTAATGAAGTGGATATCCTCTTCAGCTGTAAACGTCGAGCGGACTTCCTGAGTGACCCTGGCTAGGGCGACTGGGGTCTTCAAGAGCCAGAACGTGGTCCCGGAAAGTGCTGTTGAGGTAGTTTCGGCGCCAGCTATGAGCAGTATATTGGCATTTGAGATGACCTCGTCTTCGGAGAGAAGATCCTTGTTCTTTCCCGTCTGGAGCAAAGAGTCCATAAAGTCCCCTCTGCCATGTAAGTTGTCATTGTGAATACGTTCGAGAGAAACGGCCCTGGCATGATCTGATTGTCGCTGCTTCGCGTCGTTGCCTGATGAAAGCTTCATAACGATGCGGAAGATGTGAAGCAGCCACGGGTAGTCACGGCACATATTGACCACTTGACCGACTTTGGCGAATTCAAAGATATTAGCGACCCATTCGTGATAAGTTATATCTCTCAGTCCTCCGAAGGACTTCCCAAATGCCAGGTCTCCAATGAGATCGAAGCCTACCAGGTTGTACCACTTCACCATGTCCGCTGGGGTTTGCGAAGTCGCCACATCGCGCAATTTGTGGATCATTTCGTCTATGTATTGCTTGATCAGACTTTCTTGTTGACGAAGGGATTTCTCGGAGAAGGCATTCGCCATAGATTTTCGATATCTCGAGTGGTCTGCATCGTTGCTGAATGAGATATTGGGTGTCTCATCCGGCGAGTAGAAGAGACCCTTGGGCATTTGCACACGATTGTGGCCGTAAATATCTTTCCAAGCAGCTGCAGTGCGGAATGATAGTTCGTACGGGGAGAAACGGACAACTTCGCCATATTGGAGATGGAACTCGCGAATCTTGTCGTCGAAGCTGCCGATGATAGCATAGTAATGGCGTACCAAGCACGATGCAATCCACAGCTTTGGTCCAGGGAAGTGACGTAGTGGGTGGAAGTAGATGTTATAGATTATAACAGCTAGCTGCCAAGTAACGAAGGCCACAGTAACGAACATGAGGGCGAATCCTATGCGGACATTCTCGATGAAGCGCTGGGCCAGGCCCCGTGAATTGTCAGACATTGTGCTTGCTGATTGGAAAAAAAAGCCGGTGGATGCTTGATAGTTGCAAGTGATAGTACAGCTCCGAGCAGATATGTGTGGAATTGATGTTCCCACAACTCCCCTAGCACATAGGAACCGACGGTCAGAGAGCGAATGGGCCTCTAACTTTCTAGGCGCCAGTCGGGATCGGGTCCGTGATCTTCCGGTCGGGATCGGGTCCGTGATCTTCCGGTCGGGATCGGGTCCGTGATCTTGCGGGCGGGCAGCGGGCCTGTGTCACAGCCGCCGCTTGCCGTCGTGCAACCACGCTGTCGTTCAACCACGACACGTCTCTTTTGTCGTAGCACAGCTCATGTCGGTCGATACGACAGTATAGTAAGTTGTGAGACTATCCTGTTGCTGACCTTTGTTTTATCTACCTACATGGCAAGAATTGAGGAGTTTACGCAGCATCTCCACTGTTCTGTAGAAGTGGTAATGCTTGGATTCGCCCTCGGGTGTACCATATTCATCTTCTTGGGACCTGTCCTTGGTTCTGTCATGGGCAGCTTCGTGTCCGATGGCCCGGATCAGCGATGGCTGCAAAGTCTTCATGGCCGTTATCGCAGGAATCATCTAGATCGTAAGCATTCAGACGTATGCTCGTTTGCTTCCGCAACGCAGAATGGCCAGCTATGGACTTTATGCAAAAGACTGGCCCTCCAGTTCTCGACATAAACCGTCCTTCACTTCTTCATTACGTATGCAAAGTGATTCAGCTCTGAATCGGTGCAATACTAGTGCAATTGCTGTCAACTTAACCAGTACGCACAGAGTAATCATGTAAAAACTCATATTATAGACAATTTCTCATATCAAATTTTTGTCAAAAGGTTGATTATTCTTTCAAGAAGAAGCCTTGAATCGCCCATTTGCATTGGACCTCTTCCGACGATTCGGTGAGCGCTTGTAGCGCGTTGTTCAATTTCCGAACCTCTTCAATCTTGTCAAACTCTTCCGCTTGAGCCTTGGAGAGGAATCTCGTTACGATTTTATAATTTCTCGGAATTTTCAAGTCTCGAAGGACCCAAAATGTTTCAATCTTTGCTGTTTCTTTCGCTAGGCATGCAAAGTCGACAAGAGTTTGAGTGACCTCCTTTGCATTGGTATCCGCTGTCTGGAAAGAGGTAATACGAGTGACTTGCTTTTCGTCAAGTTCAGGAGATCCCATAAAAGCCTTGACTTCCGCGACAGGCTCCAGATAGTCGCAGACGAGTCCTCGTTCTTCAACGTTCGGGTTCTTGGGAATGGGCGGTAATCTATCTCTTCGGCGCCGCAACCCCTCCAAGTCTACCCGAATGCCATACTCATAAGTCCTGCGAAAGGTATCAACTAGTCGAAATAGCAGTCAGATTCTAATCTAGAGCATGTATTGGTTTAAAGAAGGGGGGAATGGGGACAGGCGCCGGGCGGCAATTGAAGGCATTCGTACACGTCAACTCGCCACAGGCGTGGACATCAATTCCCTTGTTGCCATCATAGATCTCAATGACGTGGATTGAATCCGGGTCACCTTCCGGATACAGCCAATAGTAGCATCTGCCGAGAACATGGATTATTAGCCGCATGTGTAGTTATAATAGCCGAGGTTATTCATATCTGACCTGGTTGTCTCCTCATTATCCCAGACATACTGGGCCAAAGACGCGAACTCGCGCTTAACATCTTCGACATGGCCCTTGTATGGTGTCAACGTTGCCAGAACCACTGGCGAAAGTGTTGATAGATCACTCATTGCACCTCGCTCTTTTGGGGAAGTCTGCTTTCTGTAGCAAAACTTAATATCGAGTGTTGGCCAACTGAAGTCTGCGTGCAAGGGAGGTGCTTATGTATTGTACCTGGAAAGGGTTTGGCCGAGCGGGGTTTGAGTTGGCTCTGACGTGGCTTGAACCACCGAATCGGGGAATGTCGTGAACTTTCGACATGCTGATAGTCAGCCTTGCCGTTTTGAGCTTCACTAGATTTAAATGAGTTTAGCATTCTGTGTTCCCTGACAAGATTCTTTCTTCTCTTTCACGACATCACTTTCCTGCGACATTCTACTCCGTCCTTGACACACCACAAGAATCGCCCAACGCTATGACCATTTGCATGGGCACCTCCAACAGCTGATGAGAAAGACGCCCGCGAAGAGGATCAATCCTTACCCTGACAAATACTCCAGCCCTTCAAAACCTAAGCAAATTCTTTTTGACAGTCCTTATCAATCGGCCGATCATAAGTTGTTCAGGCTTTTTGAGAGTCAAAATACGGGAATCTTGACAATGACGTCACTGGATTTTACAGGTAAGGTAGGCTAGGGATGTCGAATGTTGACATTTGAAAAGATACTGATGAGCTTATTAGGTTGCCATTGTCAGTGGGTGTGCATCAGGAATCGGTCTTGCAACCACTCGGCTACTCCTGAGCTTCGGTGCGAAGGTCTTCGGGCTGGATGTCAACAATGCAGACCTGATCCACAGCGCTTTCACGTTTCATCGATGTGATGTTACCACTAACGAAGCTGTCTCGGAAGCCATCCAAAACTGCTTGGAACTATATGGTGCACGAATTGACATATTAGCAAATGTGGCTGGGGTCATGGATGCATTTTCAAGTGCCGATACTGTTACGGAAAGCGAATGGCATCGTGTTTTAAGCATCAATCTCACCGCTTGCATGTACCTGACCAAGGCCGTTTTGCCACATATGCTGCCATACACCAGCGGCGCCATTGTCAATATTGGAAGTCGTGCATCTCTCGGGGGAGGAGCTGCTGGTATAGCATATACGGCCAGCAAACATGGCTTGGTAAGCGTTGATCACCACTCTATCAGCCACTGAAACTACTAATCCTTGGAATTAGATTGGGTTGACCAAAAACATAGCATGGAGGTTCCATAAGCAGGGGATCAGATGCAATGCTGTCTGCCCTGGAAGTAAGACACCATTACTCTTACGTCGATATCCTGTCTGACATCGAAGCAGATACCCAAAGCAACATCTCCCAATCCATGCACATGCATGAGCTGGATCAAGTAGCCTATGAGGTAGCTATGTAAGTTTCCCAGACCTCCTACGCCTATTATGCTAATATCGTGCAAGGCCAGTGCTCGGCCTTCATACTCCCTCAAGCTCTGTCCAGGCTGTCATCAAAGCTGAAGAAGTGGCAAATGTGGTTGTTTTTCTGGCGTCCGACATGTCAGCAATGGTCAATGGGGCCGTGATCCCTGTAGATAATGCTTGGAGCGCCCTGTGACTCAATTCGCGAAGCATATTGAGACAATGGATTAAATGCTAACCGTCAATCTGGGCTGCATAGAGATTTTTGCCATGCTTTATCAAGTCATGTATCGTTAGTCTGAACGTGCTCAGTATGACATAATGATATCAACAAGCCCCAATTCTCAGGCACACACAGTGTGCTTTGGATCCTTGCCAATACGGCTGATGGTTTCCTCCGCGATCGGAAAATAGTCGATTCTAGATACTATTTCCGAAACTCGTCAATTTTCTATCGGATATAGGGGTAACACGTCGCGAGAAATCGATTTACGCCAACTCTAACGTGTGCAGCCCTCTCGTTGAGGTGCTAGAGGAGGTATTGTCGATTTTCTCGTGACGTGTTCAAAATGCGAAAATCTTCGAAAAC